CTGGGCTAACATCCGTGCCCACCTTCCTCTACTTTATATGAGACACCGCCACAGCATGGCTTGACAAGCGGTGCATCGGTGCGTGCCCGGGATATGAACCTGCACACCCCGCGCTGCCGCAGCAGAGCGTGTGCACTTAACTACCGTGCCACCAGCTGGCCCCAAATTGTACACCTTAAATATACATAATTTTTATTTATTAAATATACTTCAATAAAGCTGGAAACAAATTTTGAACGGTGAGAAAAGCATAGAGTAGTCGTGCTGTAAAGCAGTGATTTCAATAAACATGCTGGGTAAATGTAATATGGGTTGGAAACCACTCAAACCTCGATTCCCAGGCAGCTGACACGCATCTGTCTCCCCACTAGTGGCCTGCAATTAGAGGGAGGTATATACATTATTCACCATTTCAAGGAACAGAAAGTGGTGTAGATCAGCACCACTCAAATGCAGATAACTCAGGCTCAAGTGACAAGAAATCATCACATTAATTCAATGCCAAAAGTGAAAATTAGAAATCCTGGGTGGGGGAAGGCAGTTTACCATGAGCGAAGTTCCCCGAGTCCTCTGTGTGGCCCTTACTGACCACTTTAGGATGGTTCCATAACTAGGTAACCTAGCTGGAAGAGGCAAAAGAGGAAAATATCCCCATGAGTGTGAATCTTCTCTTTTCCATGGCACCTTTCCCAACTCCCCTAGACTTTTAGAGTATTGTTGTACTACATAAGTTAATAGACCACCTTCTTTCTTTTAAAGCTGACTCTCTCCACATCAAACTCTTCTTTGAGCAAATAGAGCAAAAAATGAATCAAGATGGCGCCAAGAGAGGAAAGCATACTCATGGCGCTTCTAGGAACGGGAGCTCCAGAACGTACCATTTGCAAACATCATTGGACAATACGTGGTTTCAGAATGCAGACTGAACCATAAATAAATCTTCAGGGAAGGGTGATTTTGGTTAATATGGCACCACACTTATTGGAAATAAATCAACTTCTCTGTAGTTATCACAGAACCAGCAAATGAAAGGAAAAAAATAAAAACGAAACAGATGGATTAAAACAGAGCCCTCACTTGCTTTAGTGAAAGTGTGAAATCACATCTGAGAGTACAAAGAGAAGAGAGGTTGCTTTTGCAGTGGCACACTTTTTGCAGTAGCTCAGTAAATATTTAATACAAAGTCAGGAAATTTGTTTTTTAGGAACTTTAAAAAATATCACATCTATTTTCCACCCTCTCAGCAACAGCATTAATGATTAGGTTTTGGTAGGCCAACTAAATTCATGCCAACTGTCTACTTGATGGGGAAATTTGTTTCAAAATGTTCAACCACATTGTGAGAGCACAGAATCATGAAAAAGATGTTCTAAACTAGGAAATGACACATACAGCTAATCCAACATACTTTCATTTAAAATCAAGCCTTACGTGTAAGATTATACTACATCCTGGCTGACACACTTGAGGTAATAATTAGACTTTGTGGGAAACGATAGACTGAGATTCAAGCATGTCGATTTTAATCATGACATAACCGTAAAATGGTTAACAATGTTATATCGAAAATTGCACACGTTTTAAAAAGTCTATGGAGTTTAATTAAACAAGGTAACATGATCACAATTAAATATGCTAGTCAATCTGTGTGTTTGGTTCTAACACTGAATTTGATCTTTCGATCACATCTTATTATATAATCACTAGGACTGCTGACTGCAGAATATGTAGCTACCTTTTTAAAAGGAAAAGAATCATATTTTAAAATGGTGGACTCTTTCTGTGCATGGCTAAACTGAACAAGAAGGCTTTGGTTTATCATTCATTTGACCTACTGACTTAAAAGTCTATGTATTGCTCTGAAGGGCATCATTAGGACACGTGGTGAAACTAGAATACAAAACTACACATTAAATAATATTGTATCTACATTATATCTGCTGAAGTTGATAACAGTGCTATGCTGATGTAAGAGAATGTGCTTGTTTTGTGGAAATAAACACTCTGAAGTACTTTGGGGTAAAGGGACGTGATGTATGCAATTACTTATAAATGATTCAGAAAAAAAGTATATATACAGAGAAAGAGAATGGTAAAGCAAACGTGGCAACCAGTACCAGAAACTGCCTATCTCCACACTTCTTATACATGAGAAAAATAAGCCCCAAATCAGTTAACTACTTTACACTTACTTTGCAGCTGAACGTGTCCTTTATGGATAACTCAGCCGGCTCCAATTCACCTTCTACATGTACAGAATCACACTATAAAACTTACCACTCTGAAAAGAGAAATGGACTTACAGTTTTAGTAACTTACAAAGTCACTTAACTACTTGGGGCTAAAGTACTATTACTTTTAAGATGCAAACATCAGGGCCGGCCTCGTGGCTTAGTGGTAAAGTGCACGCGCTCCACTACTGGCGGCCCGGGGTCGGATCCCGGGCGCGCACCGACGCACCGCTTGTCCGGCCATGCTGAGGCCGCATCCCACATACAGCAACTAGAAGGATGTACAGCTATGACATACAACTATCTACTGGGGCTTTGGGGGAAAAAAACAAAGAGGAGGATTGGCAATAGATGTTAGCTCAGAGCCGGTCTTCCTCAGCAAAAAGAGGAGGATTAGCATGGATGTTAGCTCAGGGCTGATCTTCCTCACAAAAAATAAATAAATAAGATGCAAACACTAATAGTGTTTGTAGAAACACTATTTTCTTTCACACAGGAGTTAGTCATTGTTTGCTTATAAGGAAATCCCCCGAATCAGAATTTAAACCTTTTTCTGTACACCTACATAGAAAGTAACAAATTATTATATTGTCTATAACTCAGAAGCTTAGAAAGGCTAGTACCTCTTTCTGGCTCCTTTAGGGAGACACAGTCATAATAAAAAATATTGCATAATGTGCCAGGCACGATGCCAAGTGGTTTACATACATTATGTAATTCTCACAAAAACTCAGTTTGCTGCAGTTATTTCATCATACGCAAAATGGGGGAAACAGCAGCACTTACCTCATAGGGCTATTGTAATAATTAAAAGAGACTATTCATGAAACATTTAGCACAGTGTCTGGCAAAAAGTGCTAAATACACGTTTACCATTTATTGGCACCCTCATTTTACAGATTGACACAGAGAAAAGCAAGTGGAAGAAAGAGGATTTTCAACCCAGGGCTGATTCCCCAGGTTTCTGCCTTTTTCCTTTTTAAAATTACCTCCCTGCACAGCAGGGGGAAATAGTAAATCTCCAAGACAGTGGCTGAACTTAAAGCCAGAAGACCTCTATTTTGATTTTGTCCTCGACTGTCCTCACTCCCTACCAACCCCTGGCTAAGCCAGCTGCTAAGTACTTGCTGAATTAATGAAAGACTAGGTTTCTAGCCTGAGTTAGCTAGATCTTTCTGGGTTAGGTAGAACTTGCACGTCTCCGCGCTGGTGTCCCCGTCTGCGGACCCAGAAAAGGCTATTTAGGTCCTGTTCGGGGAAACGGATTCGTCTTTCCCTCCCAAAAACAAGTAACCAAGGGCCGTCACCCTCCGAAGCACTAAGACTTCAGGGTCCCAACCTACACTCGCCACAATCCTCAACAAGCCCCACACGTCACCGTTTCAGCCATAGCCGCACCTTCACCCAACCACCCACCCCCGCGCGCTCCCGCGTCCCTCCCAGAAGGCGCAGGCGCAGGCGCAGGCGCGCCGCCCTTCCCGGAGAACTACACCTCCCACAATCCCAATCGACCGAACCACCTTCCGCTCCCGGTGAGGGCGGGGCGGAGCCATCTGAAATATCATGCTTGTGTCCTCTTGGGTAGAGTTCGACTTAAGAGAGATTTTTGGGTTCCCTGGTAAGGTAGGACAGCTGTCTAGATTAGGTATGACTCTGCCCTCCGCCCCCCCTGAAGTCCCCTCAGTGTAAAACGGCAGATGGTCTACTCCAGCGGACACGCTCGCTGTCTGCCGCTGCGGAGTCACCTGGAGAGTGCAGGGCGGCCCGCGCACGCACGCGCAGAGGAGCAGCATGGGGGCGGGAGCCGCTGAGCCGCTTCCCCGCGGCTGTGAAGGTGAGTAGGGGGCGGGAAGGGGCGTGTCTTGGGTCGGGACTGACCACCTTCCAGCCAGCCTCCCTCGCAGCATGCTCTCGTGTTGGCTTAACCACCACCGTCCCAACGAACGCTAGAAGCCATTGATCCCAAATGTCCAGAAAACTGGGGTCCCCAGGAGCTCAGTTTTAGCATTTGTACATCAAAATCCCACTTCCAATTAAACCACTTCCAACATTTCATTGCCATTATCTATGTACAAATCTTTCTTCTCTATTAGACCATGCGTTTTTAAAATAACAGCTAACCTTTTGGGAGGGCTTACCGTTCATCCTGGTTTTCCCCGCATGTAGTGAATAGCTCCTTCCTAATGAACTATAGAGCTTAAAGTCTTTTGGACACTTGATTCTATTCAGTGTCAGACTGAGTACGTACTTTGTCACGTTCTCTGATGGTTTCATGTGTGTAAGTCTTCTTATGAGAAGACTCCTTGAGACTATGAAGACCGTGATACACTAACTAAAGAAATAGTGGTGTTGGTGAAGTTAATACTCTGCTGGGGATACAGACAGTTAAGCAAGTGTCTGATTGTGCCCTAACTCGAATCATTTTGCTTACACCTTGCTATTTGACTTGATTATATTGCTTAATCTTCTGGGCCTACATTTTCTCATAAAACGAGAAGATTGAATTAGATGATCTCTAAGAACTTGCCAGCTCTAAAATTCTGTGGTTAGTGAGGAGTAGAATCCAGATTATATCACAATATGTTAATGCCTAACATCATTAACTTCCATTTCTCTGCTAACGTGAGTGAAATAAGCTATAAGAATTTTGGCAGCAGCATTAAAAAGAATTGCCCCTTACTGTACTTGTAATTTCTTCCTTATTGCTGAAAATATCAAATTAGCTGATAATATGACTTTCTTCACCCTATATTTGTTGTCATTTTATAGATCATTGCTAGGAAGAACTCTGGGTGCAATTATGAACACAATGTATGTGATGATGGCTCAAATCTTAAGATCTCATCTGATAAATGCTTCAGTGATTCCTAATAGAATGAAAATGCTTCCATATCTTGGTGTCATTAGTAATAGAATGATGTCAACTCATAAATCCAAAAAGAAGATCAGAGAATATTATAGGCTGCTGAATCTGGATGAAGGATGCTCTGCAGAGGATGTCAGGGAATCTTTTCGTAAACTTGCCAAGCAATACCATCCTGATGGTGGCTCTAGTACCGCTGATTCCGCAACATTTATAAGGATCGAAGAAGCTTATAGGAAAGTGCTTTCCCACGTGATAGAACAAACAAATGCCACACAGAATAAAGTTGAAGAAGCAGAAGAAGAAGAAGAAAAATTCAAATATAAAACACCCCAACACCGGCATTATTTAAGTTTTGAAGGTATTGGTTTTGGAAGTCCCAGTCAACGAGAGAAGCAATATAGGCAATTTAGAGCAGACCGTGCAACTGAGCAAGTGATGGAATACCAAAAGCAGAAACTACAAAGCCAGTATTTTGCTAATAGTGTAACTGTTAAAGATGTAAGGCAGAGTAAAGAACGAAAGATAACTCAAGCAATAGAGCGATTAGTGGAGGATCTCATTCAAGAATCAATGGCAAAAGGAGACTTTGACAATCTCAGTGGGAAAGGAAGACCTCTAAAAAAATTTTCTGGCTGTTCATATATTGATCCCATGACTCACAACCTGAACAGAATATTGATAGACAATGGATACCAACCAGAATGGATCCTAATGCAAAAGGAAATAAAGGATACTATTGATCAACTCAGAGAGGCAATTTTAGTGTCTAGGAAAAAACTTGGGAATCCAATGACCCTGACTGAACAGAAACAGTGGAACCAAGTTTGTGAGCAGTTTCAAGAAAACATCAGAAAACTAAACAAGCGCATTAATGATTTTAATTTAATTGTTCCCCTCCTGACCAGGCAAAAAGTCCATTTTGATGCACAGAAAGAAATTGCCAGAGCCCAGGAAATGTATGAGACCCTTATAAAAACAAAAGAAGTCACAGATAAAAACCCAAATAACATTGATCAGGGAGAAGGGGAGAAAACACCTGGAGTCAAGACAGGTTTTTTAAACTGGATGAGTGTATGGAAATTTATTAAAATATGACCATTTCAGTGTTCGTGGTACTGCCCTAAATCATTTTCAGTGGCACTGACATCACACATAGAGGCTGATTTATTGCTGTAACACAAGAGATTGAGAACTGTGTGCCTCTGTACTTTTCAGAAAATATAATCACATCTCTATTGATGTGAAAGTGAGAAAGCTGTTAAGAAACTGAGTCAGAGAAATGTTCAACCAGCTTTGCTCTGAGGATATAGCAAGAAAAGAAGAGAACTTCTAAGAAAACCATTTAATCCATTTTAGAGTTTAAATGTCAGTCATCAGGTGAAATGAATTAGGACAGGGACTCAGTCTGGGAATCATAAAGGGTATTGCAAAGTCTTAGAGCAGTTTTAAGCTCTAATAACTTTAAAACAGTTGCTGTTTGCCATCTTCAAACACAGGTACTTAAACAACAACAAAAACTAAAAATGTATTATCAAGAGTCACACAACTAAAGAAGTATGAAATGTAGGCAAGTAAACGTCCAAATGATGTATGTTTTTGCAAGTTTCCTGCGTTTGTATACCTGAACTTGTTAAAGCTCAAAACTGTTCTAGGACCTTTGGGACACTCTCTACATGGGTGGAAATGTTGAGATCAGGAAATTAGCCTAATGGAGCTACTGCACTCTTCTTTTTTTTTATAAAGGCCTTCTCTGTGGGTACTGAATTAAAGAAACACCAAACATCTGGGTTGTACATTTCCTCCCTAACTTCATGATCTTTTGGCTGTAGAAATTGATCAGCCAAGCTAGTTGATTTAGCTGTTCTAGAAACAGACCCCAGCGTCCACTTTTAGAGTCTGAGTGTATTTTCTGACCTTTCAGAGGTGAAAAAAAAAAATCCTTGGGCTCAGTGGAAACTTAAGACTTCACTTGTGGCTTCATCTCTAATCAGAGATTGAAATGTTAGGTTTACACGAATCTACCTGAAGTCTCTATATCGTGGATCAGACTCCCCAGAGGCTTTTTCAGAGATATGAAAATCTCAATTTACTGTCTTAGGGATCCAATTTCCTGTCTTAGGAACCCTTTAGAAAACAAAGACAAGATGTCTGAGTTTTATGCCAGTTTGCCCCTTCGGCAAATGACAAGAAATTGACATTCATGAAATTGTTGTGTCCCATCCACTTTCAGAGAGTCTGATTTTTAGGTTTGTGTAATTGCTTTAGCCACAGAATTGGGCAACTAGCAGGATACAGAGGGTAGTCAAAAGGAGCAGGTCTGTTTCCTTATTTAATCAAGAGCACTATGTTATGGATGTGGTTCAGAAGAGTGGTGTTTGCCACTCCAATTTTGGAAGTTATTTTGTAAAGTGTTCAATAGTTAAAACAATAAATAAAACTACATCTTCAAAAGGAAATTTCAAGCCTTTCTGCTTAGATGATGGGGCATTAGTTGGTATAATACATGATTTGATTATTTTGTTGAATGAGTTGTCATTTGGCTTCTACAATGATCATTTTACTCTAAACAAAATTGTGAACAGTATGAAATAGAGCTTTATAGTAAGAGCTATAGTTCCAAAACATTTTAGAAGGTGTGATTCTGGGAGTCTTGTTAAAAATGGGAATTAGAGGGGCCGGCCTGGTGGTGTAGTGGTTAAGTTCGCATGCTCTGCTTCGGTGCCCCGGGGTTCGCAGGTTCGGATCCCGGACATGGACCTACACACTGCTTGTCGAGCCATGCTGTGGCAGATGTCCCACGTATATAAAGTAGAGGAAGATGGGCAAGGAAGTTAGCCCAGGGCCAGTCCTCCTCAGCAAAAAGAGGAGGATTGGCAATAGATGTTAGCTTAGGGCTGATCTTCCTCACCGAAAATAAATAAATGAAAAAAAATGGGAATTAGATATACGATACCTAACTGGATTGTAGCAATAAATGAAGGAAACCATTTTCAATATTGGATAATGGGAAGGTAAAGTTACCAGAAAATGCTAATAAATTCTTAATTTTAGCACAGCCCACTTATGTTTGTAAATGTTGTCTATACTAATAAAGTCAATTAATAAAGTTAATTTTAGTGATTATTCAATGGTCCATTGTTGTATAAACAACTAATAGTAATAATAATAACCATATTTTTGGCTGATCACCTAAATAAATGTTTTTTTACCTTTTTGACTGATGATATCAAAAGTGACTGTGACATAGTTTATTCTTGTTAAGGTGGCAATTTCACTTACATAAAAATAGATTCACTTATTTAATGGGCTGGCCCAGTGGCATAGTGGTTAAGTTTGTGCACTCTGCTTTGGTGGCCCAGGGTTCACGCACTCTTAGCCCAGGGTATGTGGGTTCAGATCCTGGGCGTGGACATACACACCGCTCATTAAGCCATGCTGTGGTGGCGTCCCACAAACAAAGTAGAGGAAGACTGGCACAGATGTTAGCTCAGGGCCAATCTTCCTCACCAAACAAAAAAAAACCAGATTCACTTATTTAAATAGTCCAGAAATAAACCAGAAAAAAGATTTTGACCAGTTAATCGGAGTTTCTTGAATTGGAATTTGACATTAATTTCTCTTATGATGCAGCATTGACCTTTTTCTGTTCATTTTTCACCTTCTAACTTTGTCAGCTTTTCAGGTGTGGTGGTAATCTATTGTGATTCCTGAACTCACTATTGTATCAGGCACATATCAAACTCTACCTCATTCCAAGCCTTTTCGTGGCTCCTTTCTCCAAACTGCAGGACCAGGACCCTGGCCCAACACCCTGAGGATAGAGCCTCAAATCCCTGGCTTTGGTCTCCCAGCCGTGTGATTTGGTTTTTTGCCCTTGTTCTATATGCCTGAGGCTTAAACTATAGTTTTAAGTTCCTTGATAGCATGACTGCATGACTATTCATTTTCTTCATCATGCCCCCAGGACACGATGGGGGCACCCCTCCCAGAGATGAGTCCCCTGAAACTTTGTCTCTGTGGCTGGGACTTATTACTTCCTGACATACTTCCGTGCTACCAACTGTCTGGGTCCCCATCACTGGGCCTCAGCCACCTTTTGGAACATTCCCAATACCTCTCAGGGACAACTCATGCTGATTTGCCTGTTCCTAGAAGTATTGCCTTTCCTTTTTGACAATGTTCTGTTCATTCAACATACATTTATTGAAGTCCTGAAAGGGAATCCACCATTACACTGTCTGGATTCTCAAAAATCAGTAATTGAGGGGGGTAAATGGACCCCTTGCCCCAAATGTAACCCTCACGTACTCATTTTGCTTGGAGTTACTGTGACCACCACCCTGGCTCCAGGCAGGGGACACTGGGTTCCCTCCTCCTCTGCCCTAAGGGCAGATCCACAAATGTTGTCATAATACCTCTTGTCCAGCTGAGACCAGACAGGAACATCTAAATACAACTTTCCTCAAGGCTCATGGATAACAGAAGGGAAGGGACGACAATCCGTCAGATGGGATAACCTAGCCTGCAGCCCTCTCCAGTTTGCCTCTGAGCCCGGTCCCCAGCCTGCTGTGGAGTGGCTGTGCCCACCATTCTCCCACTTCTCAGAGAGCCTTCAAGTGCCCTCCCTAAGCGTGCCTCCACTCCCCCAAACCTGGACCTAAGATAGTAGGGTCTAAGGGATTTCCTTTCCTGCCAAGACCAATTTCAAAGGTCTGGCTTCCTTTTCGAGGACCCACATCTTCCCTAGATGATTGACGTATGCCACTGTCACCCAGGCTGCCTAAGTGACAGACCCTACCTGAAGGTCTCAAAGGACCGATACAGCCAAATACACCCCAATGAGCTTAACATTGTTATGAGAGACACCTACACACAGTTTGGGGCGGGGTCCTTCCTGGTGCACGTTGAGGACCTTGTAATGAGGAGCGTATGGTCCAGTGGCGACTGGGCTTCGGCACTTGTAGCTGGGCCTCTATGCTCTCTGTGGTTTCACCTCTGTGGATGAACCTGATTCCTTGGCATCGTCCTCTCGACTTTTCCATTTAGCCACAGTTTGCACCATGATTTGCTCAGTTGAGCCCCAAGATTTTCAGTGATCTTTGCTTAAATGATGTAGGGGACAGCTGTTATACTTTTGGCTGTCTGTCATCTTCCAAATGGCCCATATTGATGGTGGCATGTGTCATGCATCTGGGGAAGATATGGTGCCTAGCACAGGAAGTCGGACCTTTGAAGGTGGTCTTAGCAGGAGGGAAAATCCCTAATTTTCTTAAATATGCTCAGAAATGGGCATGTGACCAGGCTCTGCCAACAAGACTTGTCCTTGGGGTACACAGATTCAGAATGAGGCATGGCAGGAAATGCTTGGCTCAATGTAGCAGTTCCACTAGCTGGTACAGTGGCTGCCAGGTGGAGCCATTGCCAGGTGGTGGCACAGAAGTGGTGTCAATGTCAGTGGCAGTGGCAGTCAAGTCCCTGGCTTGTAGTGCATGGTGGGGGCCACAGCAGCTGTGGTGTTTTTCTCGCCAGGCCAGTTCTTTAGTGTGGTTTTCGACATTGTTTCTGGAAACAACCTTGAGCCACTTTCTCCAGCCCTCCCAAAATTCCAGAGTCCTTTAATAAATCCCTTTTCTGCTTAATCCAGCTAGAGTGGGGACCGCCATTTGCAACGAAGAACTGTGCCTGATACAGATGAGATCATGGGAATCTCATGGCTTTGGGATAAACTGGAGGTACACACTGGACTGTAGTGCATGGGGCACGTGGACTCTGGTTAAACTCTCAGCTCTGCAACTTTGTAGGTGTCTGATCTTGGGCGAATTACCAAACCTCACTGACCTACAGATTTCTCAGGTGTAAATAGGAATGATTGGTTATGGTGAGGATTCAATGAGATATTATATGTAAAGAATCCAGCACAGTTACTGACACATGATGAGCACTCCATTCTAAGTATTAAATTGTGTATGCTGTTGTGCTAGTATAATAAGAAATAGAAGTTCTTCTTCTTCTTCTTTTTTTTTTTGTTGAGGAAGATTGGCCCTGAGCTAACATCTGTGCCAACCTTCCTCTCTTTCCTATGTGGGATGCTGCCACAGCATGGCTGGATGAGCCGCGGGTAGGTCCACCCCCGGGATCCTAACCTGCGAACCCTGGGCCGCCTAAGCAAAGTGCTCCAACTTAACCACTACGCCGCCAGCCTGGCCCCGAAGTTCTTATTTTTAAAATTTGTTGGAAAAAAATGTTCCAAAGTTCTTCTGTTGGGGGAGTATTGATTTCAAAGCTAGTCAGTTTCCTGAATTTCCTGAAACTGCTCTCTGTCACGCCTTCAGCTAGCAGGGGGCTTTAAATGAAAACCGGTCAAGAAGGGCCACGTATTGTATGATTCCACTTACAGTGAAAAGTTCAGAATAGGCAAATCTATAGAGATAGAAAGTAGATTAGTGGTTGCCTAGGGCTGTAGAGTTTGGGAGGAAATGAGGAATGACCGCTAACGGTTAACAGGTTTTCTTTGGGGGGTGATAAAAATGTTCTAAAATTGATTATGGTAATGGTTGCACAACTCTGTGCACATACTGAGAACCATCGGATCGTGCACTTTAAATGAGTGAATTTTATCGTATGTGAAAGGCTGTTTCTTAAAAAAGAAAAAAGTACGGGCTGGCCGGGTGGCGTAGCGGTTAAGTGCGTGCGCTCGGCTTTGGCGGCCTGGGGGTTCGGATCCCCGGTGCGCCCCAATGCACCTCTTGTCAAGCCATGCTGTGGTGGCGTCCCATATAATATAGAGGAGGATGGGCACGGATATTAGCCCAGGGCCAGTCTTCCTCAGCAAAAAGAGGAGGATTGGCATCGGGTGTTAGTTCAGGGCCAATCATCCTCATAAAAAAAGAAA